ATGAGTTGGTCAAAGTTAGCCTTCATTTACCTTCTATATTTCAGTTTGTTGACGTTGATTGCTAATTTATTAGATCTTAATAAATACTTGATTTAACAAATGTAGGGTGAACAAGTTTTTTTTTTCACTAAAATACCATATACTGGCTTTATATATTTGATCCTAACCTTTCATTTTCTTTATTTAATAAAATGACCAAAAGCTCGGTAAGTTATCCATGCAACTTAGGCCATCCCCAATGATGATTTAATGATGAGTTTAATGGACAAAAAATTGATAAGATGGAGTTCAATACAATAAATTCACCATTGTGGGTGAAGTTCAATGAATCGTGGTTTAATCCCCATTAAACGGTGTTATGGATTTTTTTTTTCTTAAACTATTTCACCAATAAAACTTTGTATTTAAATAATTACACCGTACACACATAAACAAGGTGTATGTCATTATTTTTTGATTTATAATTTATTTTATTTTATATTCAATAATTTAGATCATCAAGTTAATTTATATTATACTATTCTAAACAAAAATATTTAAATCTTATAAATATTTTAAAACGATAACATATACAACAATCTTTAATTAATAATTTGTAATTTGTAACTTTTAATTTATAATTAATGTAACATTATAGTTTTACAATATTATTTATAAAAATATATAATAAAATGTTCATGTGGAAATTCATTGAACTTTTAAGAGTTTAATGGAGTGTAGAGTTTAATAGGTAAAATGATAAAGTTAGTGGATTGTTGATGTGACAATCCATTAAACTCTTAAGAGTTCAATGCATTGGAGATGGCCTTACAAGTGGGAGACAAAACCTCCTTACATTCTATCAAGCTCTAAAAATCAGATTTTGATAAAAAAAAATTTCAGAATTTACAGTTTAATATATTAATTTGTTTACAATTCACACTTTAATACAATAGTTCTAGACTCTCATTCACATTTTAAAACAACATCAGAAACTCATTCACATTTGAATACTCTAGTGTAGACAATCATTAAGAGCTTAATCATTTACCAAATTTCATTGAGACATTTCATCAAACACTTTTTTGCACCACTTTTAGACAATCATTAAGAGCTTAATCATTTACCAAATTTCATTGAGATATTTCATCAAACACATTTTTACACCACATAGTGAAACGAATTTGGTGGTGTTAGGTAGCAGAGTTGATGGTGCTTGACGATGGTGTTTGGTAAAGGTGATTGTGGTGGTACCTCAACAGAACTTTGTAGATCTGGAGGCAGTGATGTTGAAAATTGTAGATCTGGTGGCAATTATGGTAGATCATCGTTGAAGCTTCGTCAATCCAAAGGTGGCGGTGTTGGTTGTGGTGGATCATCGTCGAAACTTTTAGATCTAGAAGTGGTTGTGATGAATCCTTGCCAAAACTTCGTAGATCTGGTAGAGGAGAGTGGACTTTTCATCATGTATGGATTATTAGATGAGGGAGGTGGTGGTTGGGTTGCGAGTTTTCATCATTTCTCATCAGAACCAAATCCATTAGTTTGGTGGTGGTTCTGCATGGCGGCAACGGCGGTGGTACGACATATCCGGTGGTGTTGGTTTACGACAATATGATATAATTGAAAATCTAATCATTTTAAAAAGTCAGAAAAAACATCATGAACAAGAAGTATATATAATACTAAAACAACAACAATAATAATAACTAATATATTATTATTTATTGTTACTAGTTTATTAGAATAAATAATAATAGCTTTTTTTCGAAAATAGAATAAAATTTAATGATTTTATTGAAAAAATTTGATTTTTAGGGCCTGTTTGATAAGCCTTCTATTGAAAAATTTAATGATTTTATTGAAAAAGTTTGATTATTAGAATGAAATCGATTGGGTGAAGACTCAGATCGAAATGAATGGACTGCATATGCAGGATAATGTGCTCCGCAAGGGTATCAATCCTCGTACTCGCGCCCAACAGCTTCACGATTTGATCCAGTAAATTACTCAGCTATCTGTCTTGTTTTTCATCTCGCTTTGCAATTGCTGCAATTTTAAAACCGAATTGAACAGTTGTGTACTATAACAAATTGAAATCAGTGGTGCTTAATCTTATGGTACGATGATATGAATTAATAGATCTATCCTTGACTTGTTTCATCACAATTACAGGTACAAAGGGATATCACATTATGAACAAGAGGAAGAAGCAAAGAACCACACAGCCTTTCCATGTCCAGGTGAACTCCTAGTAGAACAACACCACAGTAACTATGGAGAACCTTGGGGCTGGTGGGAGAGATGTATTCGAATTCCTTGTAGAATCCTCTCACTTAATTCCAGAATCACGTGTTCTTGAAATCGGATGTGGTACACTTCGAGTTGGCTTACATTTCATCTGATACTTGAATCCAGAACATTTCCATTGTTTAGAAAGAGACGAGCTCTCTCTCATGGCTGCATTTAGGTATGAACTTCCTGCACAAGGGTTGCTTTATAAACATCCTTTAATCTTGAAAGGTGAAGATATGGAGTTTGTTAGATTTAGGTCTGGATTTATGTATGATTTAGTGTATGTAAGTGCTGTGTTTCTCCATATGCCTGATAAGCTTGTATGGGTTGGATTAGAGAGATTAGTGGGTCGATTGAAGCCTTTGGATGGAAGATTATTTGTGTCTCATAATGTTAAGTTTGTGGAAACCATGTAAACTTTTAAGTTTTAACCTCCTTAGGCTTCTCATACATATTTTGATGTCATTTTTAATTCTTTGAAGGAGGAAAACAGAGTTGCAGTTGTATAATGTAACACACATTGGTGAAATGAACAATCCATTTGTTTGTATTTGTTATTACTTAACAATTTAACATGCATCCATTAAAAAAAAAAAAAACTCAGTCATATGTGGTCATAAGGGTAATATAGTCATTTTTTCATCATTCACCATAGTCGGTCAGAAAAATAATCAAACAGCATAAACTCAGTCAGATGTGGACTCAGTTCGAACTTCTAACTCAGTCTGGTTCTAACTCAGTCAGCTCTAATTCAGTTAGCAACTATCAAACGACCCCTTAGTTTAATGGTAACTTACGATTTTTCTAATAAGTTGGAAAATGTCATGGTTTTAATGAAATAACAAGAAAATATAGTAATAACTTTTTTTTAAAAAGTTACATAATGAATTTTGGGAAATTGTTCGATGAAAAATTATAACTTTAGGTAAAAAAAAATCAATTTATTATGTGGGCGACCATTTGTGTAACAAAAACCATTCTTGGGGATCCGTTTGTAATAAAAGGAACACCATTTATATTTTAATTTTCAACCAAATAGCCTACACGAAGCATCCTCTTGTTTTTCAGTTATTCATGAGACGTGTAGTAGAATGTAAACAACTTTTCTCACTACCGAACTTCAAATCAATTAGACTATTGCACAGTGTTCTTCATACAGATGTGACAGAAACCCAGAAATCTAATAAAACTGCAACCAAATCAGTAGCTTCATCTTCAAAGAGAAGTTGTTTTTTGGACGCTTCTAAACTGTTCGACGAATTGCCTCAATGGGATGTGATATCAGTCACAACTTTAATCAGCCAGTTAGCCCGCCAAAACAGACAAAACGAAGCATTCTATATCTTCTCCAAGATGCTTCAGATGGAAATCACACCAAACGAGTACACATTAGCTGCTCTCATTCACGCCTCCACATCTCTCAAAAACCTTAATTTAGGTAAACAACTCCATTGTAACGCAATCAAGACAAGCTTCAATCCAAATGTGTTTGTAGGCACTGCTGTTACAGATCTCTACGCGAAATTAAACACAATCGAGGAAGCCCAAATGGTGTTTGACGAAACCCATGATCCAAATGTCGTTTCTTACACAGCTTTGGTATCTGGGTACATAAAAAAGGAGAGATTCAACGATGCTGTAAGAATCTTCAAAACAATGCCTGAAAAAAACGTTGTAACATGGAACTCAATGATTGGAGGTTATAGCCAAAAAGGGCATAACGAGGAGGCTGTGAATCTTTTCATCAAGATGTTGAGAGAAGGAATCGTTCCTACACAAAACACATTCCCTTGTGTGTTTTCATCAGCTGGAAATATAGCAGCTTTAGGAATTGGAAAGAGTATACACGCATCAGCTATAAAAAATTTAGGCAAAATCGGTGTGTTTATAGGCAATTCATTAATCACATTCTATTCAAAATGTGGAAACATGGAAGACAGTTTGTTAGCTTTTCATAAAATTTCTGACAAAAATATCGTTTCTTGGAACGCTTTAATAAACGGGTATGCTCAAAATGGTAGAGGGGAAGAAGCGATTGGGTTTTATAATGAAATGAAAGCGAAAGGTGTAAACCCTAACGCTGTCACTTTTCTTGGTTTGTTATCTGCTTGTAACCATTCTGGTCTGGTGGAAGACGGATTAGAATACTTCCACGAGACCAGAATGAAGAACCCGAGTCTGATCGAGCCAGCACATTACGCGTGTATGGTGGATCTGCTGGCTCGATCAGGGAGGTTCTTGGAAGCAGAGAGATTTATTCAGGATTTACCGTTTGATCCTGGGGTTGGGTTTTGGAAGGCTTTGTTAGGTGGTTGTCAGATTCATATGAACATGGAGTTGGGTGAGGTGGCGGGTAGAAAGATTTTGGATTTGGATCCAAGTGATGTGTCTTCTTATGTTATGTTGTCGAATGCGCATTCGGTTGCGGGAAGATGGCAGAATGTTTTGGATGTGAGAAGGGAGATGAAAGAGAAGAGGATGAAGAGGGTTCCTGGGTGTAGTTGGATTGAAGTTGGATTCAAGATTCATGTTTTTGTTAATGGGGATCGTGAATCGGGTGACCCATATGAAATCCGGAAGATTTTGAGTTGTGTTTATGATCATGTAAAAGAGTTTGAGTCAGTATTGATTGTTTGTTAACAGTTAAATTCATAGTACACTTCAATAACAAAATTTTAAAGATATCTAACTATAATAAAAAAATTGCAAAAAGAACAAGTTCTTCAAATTTCTCGATAATACGCCAAAATCCATTTAGCTAAATCAATCCGTTACACAGATTACACTAACAAAACAAAACTCGTGTCAAAAAAGATACATAAAAACCGAGCACTAATATATATAGATATATAGGATGTGTATCTATTATTCTATTATTTGTTAGCCTTTTCCTTCATCTTCATTCAAGATGCGATTTCTGAAATCAGACGCCATTTTTGGCAGACCTTCGTGTAGTGGCACCTTGGGCTCCCAATTTAGTAGTTCTTTAGCTTTACTAATATCTGGTTTCCTTTTTTGAGGATCATCAGCTGTGTTTTCTCTGAATTCTATCGTTGCACTCGAGTCAATAGTTTCTTTCACCACCTAAAAATGAAAAAAATTAAATGTTAAAAAATTATTTTTGTAAATTGATTGAATTTTATTGCAAAGAGAACAAACCTGTGCAAGCTCTAACATGGTAAACTCCCCGGGATTTCCCAAGTTAAAAGGTCCGATATGCTCGCCTTCCATTAGTGCCATTAATCCATCAACCTAAAATCAACGCATGTCACTTTTGGTACATTTTTTTTACACAGAAGAGGTTGTACTGTATTTGATATTTATTTGACTAAGACTGATGTGAATAGGACAAAATTTGTGAACTGTGCAAAAGACGTAGATGCCCTTACCAAGTCAGAGACATACTGAAAGCTTCGTGTTTGCTTTCCATCTCCATAAACTGTCATTGGTTGTTTGCGAATGGCCTACAAAACATATCAATTTTACTATGAAATCGTAATTAATTAAAACTAAAAAAAAGGCTTGAGATGATTATTTGATTATAGACGTTCAAGAAAAAAATGAAATTAAGCAATTTTACCTGTGAAACAAAGTTGCTAACAACACGACCATCATCTAGACACATCCGAGGCCCGTATGTGTTGAAGATACGTGCAATCCTGACCTGTAATGCAAATGACATAAATGCCCTCAATATCCTCTTCATTGATAATAGGCATATAGCCCTAATAAAAACATACCTCAACACCATCACCTCGGTGATAATCCATGGTCAATGTTTCGGCTGTTCTTTTCCCTTCATCATAACAACTTCTAACACCTATGTAGTTCAAGATTACCAACAAATTTTATAAACACAAATGATTATAAAGGGTTTAAAAGTAAATAAAAAAAAAGTATTTTTTTGGTGTACCTATTGGATTCACATGACCCCAATATGTTTCCTTTTGAGGATGCTCAAGAGGGTCTCCATAAACCTCACTTGTGCTTGTAAGCAAAAACCTGGCGCCAATTCTCTTTGCAAGTCCCAACATGTTTAGGGTTCCCATTACATTCGTCTTGTGATCACACAAAGTCAAAGATTTTCAAATTCATATAATCATGAATCATGATATGACTCTTATGAGGTCGACCGAGCTAAATTTCAACTTCAAAATTTATAACTAGTTCTTCAAATTTTCAATAAATGTAGTTAACCATGTTCGGATTAGTATAAGATCAGTGTATGACCTCAAAAGTCAAAATGTATGATTTTGAATCCAAAAACACCAAGTTTGAATCCAAAAACACCAAGTTTGACCTCAAAAGTCAAAATGTATGATTTTGAATCTAGCATTAGCTGAACAGATGAACTGAATACATGAAAGCAACGAAATAAGCATAAATAAAGTGTTGGGAAATAGAAGGATATGATGGTTTTGACGGGATTATACTTGTAATGAACAGGGGAAGCAGGGCAAGCAAGATGATAGATCTGATCAACTTCCAACAAAATGGGTTCAACGACATCGTGTCTAATCAATTCGAATCGAGGGTTAACGAAATGATGTTCCACATTCTCTTTTCTACCTGTAAAGAAATTATCGATCACAATCACTTCATCACCTCTCGCAATCAATTTATCAACCAAATGACTTCCTACGAACCCTGATCCACCAGTCACCACCACCCGCATCCTCTTCCGCCCAATCCCAACCGGAATCCGGCCTGTTGCACCGTGGGTAGCTGGCCGGCTGTAGTGGGTGTTGGTGTCGCGTTGGGAGAATGAAACTGCTCGCATTGAGGGTAATTCCTTGCTAGTAACAGTGTCGATTGAGGAAACGGTAGATAATGATGGTTGATAGATGAAGAAGACGGAGCCGATGAGGATTCCGACTAGGGTGAAGAGAAGGCGTTGTTCTTTGAGGATGTAATTAACGGATCGTGAAATAGATCTAACTGCTGATGTGTGTTTGAGGGATTTGGGGGAGTAAGGTGGGATTTCATGGGTAGACATCATCTCTTCATCTCTTCTATGGTTTGCGCTTGGATGTTTGTGTAATTGCTTCATATTGTTCATTGTTTTTTCTCTGGTTTTGAAGAGATTGATGGTTAACTTTGGTTCATGAGAATTGAGAAAGATGGGTGAAAGTACGATTCGCCTGTAACGATTTCCAGTGAACGAACAAAGGTTTGGCGTTCTTCGAAGCAAGAGAGTGGTTGGGAGGTGGATCCTCCTTGGCTACTTGTTTTGGGGAAGAAGGAAAAGAACAGTTAACTTAACAGGGTATTAAGACATGATTATTATTAGGGAAATTAAGTAATCCAAACAAACGCATATCGGGGAAATTAATGATTATTATTGGGGAAATTAAGTAATCTAAAGGCATATGGGGAAAATTAAGTAATCGAAACACAATTTGATGTGTATTAGAAGAAAATAATTATAAAAAAATGTTTTAACAAAAATAATTATTTGGTCTGTAATGAGAATTTCGGGTCAAGAAAAAATATTTTCTTTCTGATAAAAAAATATTTTTCAGACTGATATTATAGAAATCCAGACCAACACTTCCATTGAAAAACGGTGACATTAAACATTTTAAAATAGATATTTCATACATAAATAAAGATATTTTTTCAAGAAATTTTGAAAAAACCCAAAAAAATAACTCTGAAATTTAAAAATCAAATCTGAAATGCATTATTCAGGACTAAGTGCTCATTTAAACACCTCCAAATAGACATTTCGGATATACCTAGAAATACTTTGAAAAAAAATTGACAAATAAAAGAAGAACTTCATAATATGAACAGTGATGTCATCACCACTGTTGCGAAACCATATTGTATGCCTAAACATTGTTATTTTCCACATTTGCAAGTAATATTTTGTCAATGGAGAACACCATTCTTTTTAAACATGTTGATGGGGTATAGTCTTTATAAAGCATGCCTAAAACCATAGGGGACAGGTAACCCGGTTATGTTAGAAATATGGCACGGACTCTTTATAAAGAATGCCTAAGACGATAATAAAATAATAATAATAACATTGTTCATGACACTTTGCTAATTGCAAGAGTTAAATAACGTGAAATTTGTTTTTTGGAATGAAAAAGTAAAATAGTCATTTCGTTCGGATGGTTTATTGGTTTATTCAGTCTCTTATAAAGTCCTAAAATCTTAAACACAAACTGGCAATTACATATTAACTTATCCTGTATACAGCAATATATATATATATATATATATATATATATATATATATATATATATATATTCATGCAAGAATAGAATATGCAACCGATTACTCGCCAGCTGGGCGTGGAACTTGTTGCCAGCCTGTACAATGTTGCAGCAGGGATTTGAGTTCCATTGTTGCAGGTTCAACAGTCCATGTCTCATAGTGTTGGCTTGGATGAAAAGTTGCATCTGAAGCCAATAAGCCCGCCTGAGTTCCAGCCACAAACAGATCACCCTCAGAGACAATGCAGCCTGTGCATGCCTCCTCTTTGTCACCTGCCTGCACAAAGTACAACCATCACTGCATATGGTACCATTCAACCATAAAATGTATGTAGTTTACCTTCTCAGTTAGATACTTAAAAGCCACCTTCTTCTGTCCTGCTTCATATATATTGCATTGAGAGTATATCTGAAGTAAACGATCAATAAGTTATATACATATGCTTAAAGATCAAAAAAAGAAAAAGAAAATTGTTTTTTGTGTACCTGTGATTCAACACTAGCGCAGACAGCATATATTCCCCAGTTTCTTGTGTAATTGTTATACAAATGTACTTTGGCAAACCTGACACGTGGATGCCTTTGGCGGGTCCCATCAAAGAAACAATGGTGAATGGTGACACACATGCATCTGTCCCCATGGTGTGAAGCATCGCCTCCAATTAGTATTGTCTTGTCATGGTTTGAAAAGTGACAACTAAATACACAAAAAAGAAAGTTAAAATACAAAAAGTTATTTTTTCAGCAACCTGAACTAACAAATAGTCGAATCCACATTGGAATTAAAATTAGCTGTTAATACTTCTTAAGTAATTACCGGGAAATGGTAATATTTGTGCTTTGGCGGGTAATATCAATCAACCCATCATCATAATCCTTGAGGCTACAACGATCAATCCATATATGCTTTGAATTAGGCTTGATTTGAATGCCATCTATATCATGTCCTCTACCTCCTTCAAATTCCAAGTTGCAGATGATCACATGTTCGCATTCTTTCAGCCTCAAGCCCTTTCCAGTAAGCTTAATCCTCTGTCCACGTCCATCAATGGTCTTGTAAGATGATACATTTAGATAAGATGAGAGTTCAATGGAACCCGAAACTTCAAATACGATCCATAAAGGTTCTTTCTTGCGACATCCAGCACGAAGTGAACCAGGTCCATCATCTACACAACAACAAGGTAAAAGCTTTTTTAATGTATAACATCAATGATCTGAAAATGAATCGATTGAATTAGATTTGGCAAATTAATCGATTTCAGAAACGGTACATTGATAGCAAAACCCTAATTATCCAACAAAACGATAACGAGAGTCGAAAACGATCATTAATTAGCGAGACTAAACCTGATAGAGTAGTGACATGGTAGAGCGGTCCGTTAAGTCCACCGACGGCGAAGCGACCGAAGCCCTCTGCTTGTCCGGCGAGAGCTCGCAAGTTACAGTCGACTTGAGAGTAAGGGAGTGATACTAGTGCCATTTGGTTATGCGTAATTGAGCTTGACGGGATTTGTGGTACTTGATGTGATGGAGGTCCGTATTGATATTGAGGGACTTGAACTACAGTTTCACCATTTCTACGGTTTCGTAGGTGGTGGCGCCCGCCGGAGTTATGGTTCCCCATTAATGATTGTGAGTTTTGATCCAAAACCGGTTTTGTCGATTTCTGTTTCACCGACACCCGAGTTAACTCAACTGACCGTTATTCCTTTCTTAAACATCAGGTAAAGCGGTTGCAAATAGGATTTGTTATAAAATAGTACCTAATGTTAGAAATTTGGGGAATAGAAATGCTGAAAATTTTAAGAATTGTGATATCAGATTAAAGTATTTAGGTGGTACTTTCAATCTTTAATTGGATAATATTCAGAATATGAGAGCAAGAGAATCTGATTGTTATGAATTTCGAATGTACCATCAAAATGAAGACCAAAATTGGTTAAGTATCTTTTCCATCGGAAAAATGTCACAAGATAGTTTTATGTCTAAAAAACTGTCACTGAAACAGTTTGATGTCTGAAAACTGTCACTAATTCGGGTTCTTTCTACAAGGGTCAAAACAAAGTCAAAAACCAGGTTTATTTCCAAAAATTCAGATTTAAAAACCCAGGTCAAAACAACTCGACCTCAGCCAGGGGCTCTGCCCCTTGGACCCCGCTCCCAGGGGCGCTACCCTCAAACCCCCGTTCGTTTAGGGGTTTCGCCCCTAAATGATAGTCTACATTGAATCTTGAATAAACTTAAACAAGTGTGCACTTCGCATCTTCCTTACTTGTTTAATGTTCATCAAGATTGATTTTGGTTAACAAGTCAATCTATTACACTTAAATACACATTGATGATACAAAATCACCAACACCTATCAAGGTTGTTAAAATCTCGATTTTGATCTCACGATCTTACGATTTTAAGATTTTACAAGTGAAAAACAATTTCAATCAAATTACGATCCCGATCTCACCTCTTTAGTTTTATTATATAACTGATTATCAAAAATTCATCTATTCAACTTGAAACCGAGTGTCACAAGTTACAAAAAAGTCTTCTAAAACATCATCATTTTATTAATTCATCTCGAGTTAGGCATAACACAATTATAATAATTCATTTGTGATCTTATGTCTTACTTGTACATGATCAAAATGGTATTATTTCTAATTAAAATGATTATTTCTTAATGTTTACAACTTGTAACAACAAAAATTATGGGTGACGTTTCAGAAGTTAAATTTAATTACACTATCTTGCGAGCAAATTTGAATATGAGTTCATTTTGGTAGGATCTTACGATCACAATCTTGTAAAATGTAAAACAATTTTAAGTAAAATCTCAATTTTAACAACCTTTGAACCTATTATATAAATATGGTTTTCACTTTGCATATTATATAGTATTTTACAAACAAAAAAACCGAACAAATATATGTTTTAATGTGCTACACATATATGCTGAAACTCTAAATTGTCATTCACGCCACGTTAGAAGTCATCAATGCTAAAAAGGTTGGATTAATCAGATATGTTATTGATTGACATTAACTTCTAAATTTATTAATTAACAAAATTAAGTTATGAAAAAGCAACATATTTCCTTACCATCTCTTCGTTATATTAAAAAAAAACTATGAATGGAGATATCTGGTTATCTGTCGACAACAACTCATATTGAAAGATTAGTCTTTAATACATTCCATCCGAAATGCTATCAAACCAAGAACTAGATGTCAATTACTTAATGTTTGAACCGAATGACACAACCATATTTGCTGTTTTTTAGGCCTAAATATTTCCAACTTCAACTCATGTCCCTTTTTTAGGACCTCCAACAAAGTGTATAAGAGGGAGTGAAGACCTCATTAGCCATCTTCAATCATCGAGTGATGCTCTATTTTGAGGGATTTCCTTTGAATGGATGATTGCTAGTGGTCTTAGAAGCATAAGGAAGCAGAAGAAAGAAAGCCCGCAAAAAGGAACGGAGACTCTGAAACAATGTATGAAAGAGACTCTTGAAAGCTATTGAAGTGGACAATCAGAGTGATGCTTTTTTTATCATGAATACACAATATGATATTTTCATCATCCCTTCTTAATTATGTACTCGATATAGCCGATTGCAAAACACAGACACCTTGCAATTTATCATTGTTTGGATGTCATTCCTTTTGGTTTGATGGTCACTTGAACTCAAACAACCTAAAAAATTTTATGAACAAAACATCAAAAAATAACAAGTACAAACAACATTCAAACATTTTGTTAGATTTCGAAATTATTTATATGAGTTATGAAATTAAGTACGGTTTATGAAAATGTTACAACTTTAAATAGGTGGTCGCGATAATGGAGTTCAAAACTAATCATGTAGGTTGGAATTGGCCAAGTTTCATAGCAAGTGGTCATATTTTGGCATTTTGTTAAAATTGTGGTTAATTTGTTACCTCTAATTATGAAAAATAGTCATTTTGGCGAATATCATCACTGAAAATATTGTTTATTTCAAGAAGCGAAGTAAAACTTATGTAAACGTTCAAGCCAATGTTCCTCGCTATTGTATGTATGACCGAAGTTCGTTTACTTTCTTCTGTTTTTCATGCTTTCAATAATTCATAAATTTGTTGTTAACTACTAGATCTAGTCCATATCACTATTGTTTATTGTAGCGGACGTAGAAAGAAATACCAGGGGTAGTATAATTTGTTAAGGGCTTACTACTAGAAAATAAAACTTATATTCGAGGACAGTTTCCGCCATAATCCGTGACTAAAAAGGTTTCACGACAGATTTACACTTTATTAGGATTTTGTGACGGATTTGTGATGGATTTATAACGGATTTTGACAATTTTAGAATAAATTTTACATTTGACTAATGATTGATATCTAATTTGGTTTCACCAAACGTGTCTACACCAATTACCACGGTATACATACTCATTGATAAGGATGATATGGTAATTATCGAAAAGTCTAAGGGGGTGAATATAACCTATGTTATGAACCTCGTTGCGAAACCTTTAAATACACGACAGAGTCTTAAGCGAATCGTAAATGCAAAACTAAATCGATGTGGAAATACGGTAGCGCCATTGATCACCGGAAAACCACCGCATTCTTCCCGTCTCCAGGAGCTCTTTCATTCCTATAAACCCTAATCTTACCTGCTATCCTCCATGCACACCTATAATATATGATCTCATATTTTCTTTAACCTCAATAAAATTAACCAACGATGAACACCGTATTCGAAGGTAATCCTGATTTCTCCAATTTCGTTTCATATACACTTACACACACATGCACTCACCTGAACGTGTTATTATATGTTCTTCGAGATCTGATTTAGTTCGGCTATGATGCTGTCAAAGAACATATAGATCCGTATTAAATTGAATCAGTCGAAAGTCTAATTGCTATATATTATGGAACTTATTATAGAATCAATCAATGTCGATTGTATATTCTATTACTGAAATATATTGTTTAATTATGATGCTTAGAAGGAGATGAAATGGATCTAGAAATGGGTTCAGATTCAGGCACATGTACAAATCCATTTCTTCAAAGGTCTCCCTCTCCTTCCCCTTCGTTCCCTCCTCCTTCTCCTAGAACACCTGCATTAGTGGTATCCAATTCCGGTAAGTTATCATATTCATCATCAAATACTGGTAAAATGGGTACTCCAATGTACGGACCAGGTTCAAGCAAGTCACTAGCATACTCGAGCTCAACAAATACATGGGGGTTTTCCAGTTCAGGAAAGTCACTTTCAGGGAAGTCATTAACGAGTCAGAGTGGGAAGAAAAAGTATGTGAAGCAAGTGACAGGAAAACACAACGACACTGAGCTTCACTTAGCTGCAAAACGTGGTGATGTTATGGCAGTGAAAGAGATTCTTGATGAAATTAATGAGCAAATGTTGAGGACTATGACAGGTGCAGATTTTGATGCTGAGGTAGCTGAGATCAGAGCTTCGGTTGTGAATGAGGTGAATGAGCTTGGAGAAACAGCTTTATTTACAGCTGCAGAAAGAGGGTTTCTTGAAGTTGTGAAGGAACTTTTGCCTTACACAACTAAAGAAGGACTTTCTTTTAAGAATAGATCCGGTTTTGATCCTTTGCACATTGCCGCTAGAGAGGGTCACCAAGGTAATAATAGGTTAAACGCCTAATTTGTATATCAATCGAAGTATCTAACATGGTATCAAAGTGAATATGCAGAGATTGTTCGGATCCTTTTGGACCACGATCCGGATCTAAGCAAAACAGTGGGCCACTCGAATTCAACTCCTCTTACAAGTGCAGCTGTAAGAGGCCATTTATCCATAGTCGATGAATTGTTATCGAGAGATTCTAGCTTGGTGAATGTCACGAGATCAAATGGAAAAAATGCATTACATTTAGCTGCCCGACAAGGACACGTGGAGATAGTGAGTGCTTTGCTTGGTAAAGATCCACAACTTGCAAGAAGAACGGATAAGAAAGGTCAGACTGCTTTGCATATGGCTGTGAAAGGAGTTAGTTGTGAAGTGGTGAAATTGCTTCTTCAGGCTGATCCAACCATTGTCATGCTTCCGGATAAGTTCAGTAACACAGCTTTGCATGTAGCCACACGAAAGAAACGAGTCGAGGTATTAACTAATCAACTTTAAGAAAACGTGTCAACTTTATATTGTAGAATGTAATGTGGATTTGTCCTTTTTCCTTCTATTTCCTTTAATTTGATGAATATTTTGAAATTGGTTTTTAGAATGCATCATTCAGCGAGAAAAAAAACATATAAGGTCTTTATGTATGTAACATTTTGTCTGTATATTATTCATTAGCAATTTAGCCACTTAACTATCTTACGAAATTTGATGTAAGGATAAGATGGTCAATTTTATCACAAATTCAAATTCTAACAGTTTTATGTGTTTTGATTAACTACAGATAGTTAATGAGCTATTACTTCTACGTGACACAAACGTGAACGCCTTAACGCGAGATCACAAAACAGCTCTTGACATCGTAAGCGATCTCCATTTTTCAGAAGAAACCTCAGAAATCATCGAAACATTATCCCGTTACGGAGCTGTTAAAGCCAACGACTTAAACCAGCCACGGGATGAACTCCGGCAAACCGTCACAGAAATCAAAAACAACGTCCACAATCAGCTCGAACAAGCCCGGAAAACTAACCGGAACATGAGCGGGATCGCCAAAGAGCTCAGAAAACTCCACCGTGAAGGAATCAACAACGCCACCAACTCCGTCACTGTAGTGGCGGTTCTCTTCGCGACGGTGGCATTCGCCGCCATTTTCACAGTCCCCGGTGGCGATGCAGATGATGGGACGGCGGTGATGGTACACAGCTCGTCTTTCAAGGTGTTTTTTATTTTCAATGCTATTGCTTTGTTTACGTCGCTGGCGGTGGTGGTGGTGCAGATTACGGTGGTGAGGGGGGAGATTAAGTCGGAGAGACGGGTGGTTGAGGTGATTAATAAGATGATGTGGTTGGCGTCGGTTTGTACGACGGTGGCGTTTATTTCTTCGTCTTATATAGTGGTGGGGAGACACCATAGATGGGCGGCAGTTTTTGTGACGGTGGTTGGGACGGTGACGATGGCGGTGGTTCTTGGTGGGATGACTTATTATGTGTTGAAATCGAAGAAACAACGGAGACATAGGCGGAAGTCAAAAGTAAGCTCAAGCTGTGGGTCGTGCAGGAATTGGGATTTATCTGATGCAGAAGTACACCCTATTTATGCTATTTAATTATTTAATTGTGTGTGTGAATTGTGTTTTTATATATTTGTATAATTAGGTTTAAACCTCCGAGATCACGGTTGAAAAAAAAAATTTCAAAAAAATCATTTGTAATACTTATCAGTTCCTTTGAATTTAAGAAAATTTATGTTGATAAAACAATAACTTATGAACATGCTTTCCAAATCACATAGAAGTAGAAACAAATTATTAAAACAAATAAAATTCTTATAATAGAAGCAATGCAACATCAACTCTTTTGTATGTGATATCATGCTTATTGCCCTCTCCCTTTCTCTCCTGATCTTTCACCTCTTTCTTTCTTCATACTTCACCATATCAACCTTTTACATCACTTCGTTCAAGCTTGAGACAGCCCTTTGAAAAAAAAAAGTTATAATAAAGTATAGAAGCATGTAAGTTTGTTTATTATAAAAAAATAATTGTTATTGCATTTAAAAAAGAAATGGGTCGGTACATTTGATAACTCATTTCCCCCTCCACTTCTTTTTCTTCTTCTTCAGACCACCCACATTGACGGACTCCACTGCTCCGACAACTCCCAGACATCTTCGGTTTCAAACAGAGGAAATCGACTCCAAGATACCGGCCAATTTCAATCTTTATTTTACTCTCGTCTCCTCTTTCCCCTCTTCTGATCTCATACTTACATCTCCCCTTCTATCTCTCTCGCACAGAAGACCACTACTTCAGATCTAGGTTTTCAAACAGAGGAAACCCGAGGTGGCGCACAAGTGACGATGACGATGGTAACGCACATGTGACGATCTGTAAACGATGGCGATGGTGGAGCTCGATTTAAAATCCTAGGCGGTGGTTTAAAACCCTAGGTGGCGATTCAAACATATCCATATATTCTCCACAAATTACATGGATCGATTGAGAACAAGTAACCTGATCGGGTGAATTAATCCACCATCACCAGTAACAGTTATGTTGCTGCCCTTCCTCCTTCTTTGCCAATCTTCTTCCCGTCTCACTCTCTCTTTCTCAATTTCTAAAACCATCTGAGTTACAAATTTCATATTCGGAAACCAGAGATGAAAGGTGGAATTTCGGGTGGTCGGAGATGATGATAGGAATAGGATCAACGGAATGAAGAGGAGAGAGGGTTTGCTGGAGAGATTATCCATCGGCGGTGACTTAAGAGTGATTTTAAGGTTTTATTAAGGGTTTAGAAGAGGATGAAGAAGATAGATCTGAGAAGAGTGGGGTGGGATTGGGTTTGGGTATTATGTGGGTCCATATTTTTTTATAATTAATAATAATAATAATAATAAAATATTAAATTAATTGAAAAGGAAATATACAAAGGGTATTATGGTCATTTCAAATCTGACAGGGATTAAAATCGAAACAAAACCGTGTATCAGGGATGAAGCATGCAGGATTTAAACAAACGAGGGACGGTCCGAGTTAATTTTTGAAAATAGGGACTAAACGTGCATTTTGGCATATGTACAAGGGACGATTGGCTAATTTACCCTAAGAGATAATATGTCACGGCCAACCCTTTTGCAATTGAAAGCAATAAAGTTTGTGAAGGCCCAAGGGAACCATACATGAATAAGTGTATTTCTAATTTTTAAGGACCAAATAAATAATCAACAAATACGTTTCATTAATTTTAATAATGAGGTTCCAATGTTACTAAATTAATAATTAGGATTTTATTTATAGTTTCGTTAAAATAGCCCTAGATTCTATTAACTTCAATAATATTTGTTGATTATATGAAGTAATGAAAAAAACAGACCCAAATTAAAATCAAATGCTGAGAAGGGTTGCCTTATGCTCCAAAATTCCAAGAATTGGCTAATTTATGCTAATGCCTTTATTTGATATTTTTCTTACCTTTTCTTTTATCTATTTGGTTCGATTCTTGGTCCTATATATTCCCAATTCTTTTTGAATTGCTTATTCTTAATGACCGGAAATTATGCTTCTTTTACTCGGAAGATTCATAGGAAATGAATGGTGAATTCTTCTCATAACAATCGGTTCATATTACCTATAACATGTCAGACACATAAGAGGAAATGAATGAGAAGAATTCAGATTACTAATAATAGACTAGACATAGGGAATGAATGAAAATAATTGGCTGACTAATAAAAATCTGCCGAGCCAATGAGTCAGCCTCAGTGTCTAATAACAAATGACTGAGTTGAAAAAACAAAATTGTTTTATTACCTCATCAGCATGATTTTATAGTAAATCTGATTATTTGTTGTTTTATTATTTCTTAAAACACAACCACTTTCTGATTGACAAACAATCATATGAACTTTTCCGTTTTTGCTTTAATTGGTAACTTTCCAGCTCTACCCTTGGTAACAACTTGAACAACTGATACAGATCCATTTCATTTGACATACGTATTAAAAGCATCTAGGTAAAAGAACTACACAAACAGACACATGACTTATTAATAGAAATACTAAATTAACTGACAATGGAGAGAATATGATATCTTCTTGAACCAAAATCTTTTGACACCTCATCTGCTCATCAAAATATAGAGTGTACACCAACACCCTACGATATGTATTTTCCTCATTTTAAAATACACCAAGTGTTACATGCCCTGTAAGTTTCAAGATTAAATAAATTGATGTAACATGTACAGGGGTATAAAAGTGCAACTGTGCAAGCTATAAACATTGTACCCAAGCTACTAAATCGGTTTTCACCCTACAAAAACATTAATTCATACAAAATCATTCAAACCTAACAGCCACACAAACAAAATATAACAAAGATGCATACCTTACATAAAGATCCATCAGATAGATTATCTGCAGAAAGAGATTTACTTTCAGCTTTAAACCAATTTTATAAGCTTATCTTGATACATTAAAAAAAAGTGTAAGTCGAAAATAGTTAATGATATAGAAGGAACACTTAAGTTGATTAACAAAACATAAAATATAAAAGAACAAAAATTCGTCAAACCTTTTTTCCCCGAAATTCCCTGATTGTTCCCCAACTTATAGTCTGATGTTTATAACCCACTGATAAAAAAAAACTATCATTCAAACAATTCAAAGAACAGTTGGAACTCATCTTAAGAGTCATAATCCGATGGTTTTAGTTCTACAAAATAATCAGAAACCCATAAAAGGTGAATAACATCAAAAACCCACCTCAAATCGGACGAAAAAAAAAAGAAGTAAAGATCCATTTACTAAATTGTTGACAGAAGGAAAAAACAGATGTATATAATACTCAAATGAAAAGTAAAAAACAGAGGAATATCATTCATGAGAAGAATGCAAATAGGAACATTTAAAGACAGTCGATTTTCCTAATCTCTGTCTCTAGTCTGCTAACAAAAATATCTACTTTCAACATCTTCTCACATACCCTACCATTCTCGCCACTTCTCCAAAAAAAAAAAAATTAATGATTGTCAAAAGACGACAATAAAGCATCTTACCATATAAAAAAAAAATCCAAATTTGTAGATGGGAAATCGTAAATCAAAAAGCTTGAACCTGGGAATCAAAGAAAACATACGTTAGGGTTCAACATCTCCTTCGTCGTCTCTTGTTGTGCTTATTCTTTTAAAGCCCTATTTTTTTTTTAAATGAAGATAAAGATGCCCAAGGCAGGTTTACTGAGCGAGGATGAAAGAATTGATTAAAGAGGAAGAAAATCGGATGTACGGTTTAAGAAGGTGTTATGTAAAGCCCTAATTCAAAGACACAACAGAGGGGAAACAAAGTTATCCAAATTGAAAACCTTAAACCTGTTTTGATTATTGGAACAATATTACAATTCATCCCATGAAATCTTGAACAATTGATAATATCTAAACAACTCTTTGTTTAAAATTGCAACTTCAAAACATCTCATCAACGTCATTAATGACAAGGGTTTCAGAATAGAAGCGGTCACAATCGAAGTCGTACGTAATTACAAAAGTGGGTTTCAAACAAAAAATACGATCTAGGCAGTCTGATCACACAACCAACTAAAGAAGATTTGTGTGATGTTTTCGCATATAATTCCTAAATCAAACACATACATATTGAGATTTGAAAAGCAATTGGCTGACCTTACTATGTTGAGGCAATCCTTTTCCCCACCCCTCCCGATCTCCTTCTGCTGCTCGATACCTCTCTCCCCCTTTGTTTTACCATAGACAGTAGACACCCACGTAGAGATTTCAATTGCTCTCTCTATCTGCTCTCCAAATGAACATAAGTTTTTCTACTTCCTCTGAATGCTTCTTGTTTTTCTTCCAAGATGGTCTAAAATATATGAAGTCACACAGACGGTCTACAAAATTGATTCAAATTTGGAGTTCCTGATTTTTTGTTGGTGTGATAAATTATTGATTTCATGCGTGTTTCGTATCAAACTGAAACTAATCAAAAGAAGAATTCAAATTTCTCCACAAAATCAGGGAAGTAGATTATGGAATTACCTTATTTCAAACCGTTGAAAAGAAGGAACAAATTATATCCTAGATTGCAAGGGTAAAGCTGGAAATTCAAATTGCTTTTTTGAGCGGGAAAATTCGATGGGAAGCTGCTCAGCAATTGCCACTAGACAATTGGGTACTCTTTTATTAGGATAGAAGATGTATTTCGATTAAAAAAATCATTGGAAAGAAAAAGTGAGTTGGATCAATTAAATGATGTGAGGGAAGAAGATCAGAGAGAAAGACAAAGAAACAAAAACAAAGTTGAAAAAACAACTAGTTCAATATTTTCAAATTTTCAAATATGGTTATTATTGCCTTTCATTAATTTGTGGTCATATTGTGATACGTATTTACTAAATGACTATTCTTGGTTATCCCAAATATTAAAGATGTAAAATTAGAACATGATTAAAAATGATAAAATAAAAATGTTCTTGAATGGATGAATAATTGTTAAAAATATAAACAAAATAAACACTCATTCAAAAATAAGTACCAATATAGTGCCCAATAAATGAAGCATTTATATAGAGAATAGAAGCTATGTTACTTAGTCATACATAACATGCATGCCAAATTGCCAAGAATCTATTGCAAATCTTTAATCATCAAGGGAAATTAACCAAGAAAACACTAGAAACATTTTTTTTTTTTTTGACAAATGAAAATCTTGTGCTTCAAATCTGCAAGTCTGTGGTCCATGTTCCTTGTACACTGGGGTGTTTGGTAACATGTCTAGTCTTCAACTTCACCACCTTTCTTCCAAGTGAATTTCTAAGCCTTGTTGCACAAAGCAACACATCTTCTGGAGTCATGTTCATCACAGATACAACGCGCTCATTCTTGTTCTCTAACCAAACAAACACATTTCCATCCATAACCAAAAAACATGTTGCCAAAAGCATGTCCAAAACTTTACGTCACAAGATCTGCTATTACTATCGAGACAGATCTTGCTGACTTAAGGAGCTGTTTGATAGTTGCTGATTGAGTCAGAATCAACTTCTAATTGTATTATCAAACAGTTTGTTTGATGAATCTCTCAGACCCAACCAAACCAGTAAGAGACATATCAAACAGCTTCACATAAGGACAAATTATTACTGACAGTAAATAATATGGAGAGAGAAAGTCGTACTATATGATCCCTTTAGAAATGGGTGTTGACCACGGTTAAGCTCGGTAACCACCTCTAGTTGAGGGTTGTTTTCTTTAAATGCTTGCAAGTGAGATTCCATAAATGCCCTACACATTGCATAAATTTATAAGCCTAGAATTATATGTCAAAAACTTGATGAAAACTAGAATGCAATATACACCACAAAAAAAATAATAATAAGGGGAAATGACTAATGTGTACATCATACCTAATTCCCCTACTACTTCCACCCCAATTACAGTAGCTCACTGTTAGCTTTTGAAGCTGCCAAACACCTCGTTGTGACATCTGTCATAAATCAAGAATCAGACAGATGAATAATGTTATTTGTAAAAAATGAAGTCAGTCTTTTTGTAGTAAGTCAAAATTCACACTTGAATAGATAAACATACAAATTATATGTAAAAGAATTAAGCATCGAGTCAAAAGGAATTGGTCTTTTAGAACTTTAACACAAAACAGCTACATTAGGCTATTAAAAATTTAATCTAGCAAGCAGTCTTCTTAAAAAAAAAAATCAAAACTTTATCGAATGTAAAGTTTAAAATTACTCATAAGCAAAACTTATAGAACAAAAGCTACATCAACAAACGAATCATCCAAATCATAGTATCATACAATAAAAAAATGAGAATTTTAATCAAACAAACAACAACCATGTATCTCAATATCCCACAGTTTTAAAATTCATCCCAATTAACATTAAGAATAAACCAGTCAAAAATCTAAAACAAACCCTAATAAAAAACCCTTTAACTGGAACATGGCTAGCCACATAGAACAAGGATTGTTACTTGTTAGCTTTGGAAGATGCATATCATACATAATCTGAATTAACAAACATAATTCAAGAATCTAAAAAGCCTAATATATGCAGAAGACTGACACACTGGTAACACAATGAGGGGAGGGAGGGGGTGGGTGGGTTTAATGGTAACTCCTAGTACTTTCGAGTAGTTTTAGTCGCTGAATGTATTAGACGTACAAATGAGACTGAATGTAACGATTGAAGAATAACGGGCTTAAAACAGTGTAACGATAATCGGAAACAGCAAAAACTAAAAAAGGAATTGCAGATTAATACCTCGTATTTGAATCCGGAAGCCTGAAGAGGAAGAACGAGGAAGTGAACCCTAGAAATGCAGGGTATGCGAGTGTTGTACGTGAGTGTGTTCAAGTAAACTTTAAAATGTTCTAAACAGTAAACACTACGTTTTTTTCTTTGAAATATTTAAAAAGATTTAAATGTTTTAATATAATTTTTAAAATGTCAAATTAATTAAAAATAGAAAAAATGGCCATAACAGTATTATTTCCTAGAAGATGTTTTTAGAAAATATGCAAGAAGATAAAAAAATGTCCAAAATAGACACTTTTTGCAAGTGGACTATACGTAAAAATGTAGATTTTTATAGTTATCCATTATTTTTTTAAACTTCTAATTTCATACCAACTTCATTTGAGCTTATTTTCTTTTCATTGTGTTCTTTATAATAAGGGTTTTCATTGGACATATTACACTCCAAATTTGAATGCCAAAAAGTCATACTTTTTAGCTTCAAATTACGTTACTTAATAAAAATATGAAAAAAAAAACAAAACAAAACAAAACAACTTTTGATCATTCATAAATTTCACATAAAAACTTTGTTTGAACTGATTTTTTTTATTGTGTTTTTATAACAACAGATTTTCATGGGCATATTACACTCTCAATTTGAATGTCGGAAAATCATACCTTTTTAGATCCAAAATAGATTATGTGGTGAAAATAATGAAAAAATAAACTTCATATATTTTGCATATAAACTTTATAACAATCATCATACCATTTGAGTTCTCCGAATCACAATGGGTGACCTACAAAAATCTCAAAAAGAAATCACTTTGCTTCATAACAATCACAAAGGTGACCTACAAAAATCTGAAAAAATAAAAATATTTTCACATGCCTCGTAGATTTTTATAGGTGTTGACCTGCGAAAATCTCAAAATAAAAAAATAACATTTTCGTAGGCCAACCACATTTTAGCACGTGATAGACTGTAAAAATTATAGCTAATTTGGTCATTTTTTTCCATTTTTATGGCTATTTTGTAGTAAAACTTTAGAAAAATGCTATTATGATCACTTTCTATTAAAATATATCTAAAAGGTAAAAATTGTTTTTTATAATAGCTTATTGTTTTAAAATAAGTGTTTTTTAAATTAATTAGCAATAATAATAGTTAAAAGGAATATTAATTTATAATTTATATTATTTTACCTTACCAATGATTAGTATTTCAAATAGTATTTCAAATAATTATAATGATTGAATTAAAACATGTCAAATAAATAATTTCTAAATTAATTAACCATAATATTGAAAGTAACACTAAATGGAAAACTATATTTAGTTTTAATCACACCTAATTTGCAAGTAGAGGTCATTAAATGATACAATTATAATAAATGTTTATCTTATTATATGGTTCAAAATATTACCATTTTATATATCAACTTATTTTATGTATTATTATTTCATAGTTAATATCAATAACATCATTATTTTCAATATGTATTTATCAGTTATTAACTATATAATTTGATTATGGCACAACACACAAATATTTATCTAGTTAACCATATTACACAAATAAAAATACATTTTGCAGTGGTGAGAAAGCCTTGTGAAATGCTATAAAACATTTTATCAAATTTGGACTCCGAAAAACTCAAAGGAAAACGGGTTTGCTAAATGTTGTAATGGGAAGTGGATCTGATTTGTGAAATGTTGGGCCCAATATGAAATTTTTAGGCCTATAAATAGATACAATATTTTTAGTTTGAAATTGTAAAACACTAAAACGCTCTCTAAATTTTGGGTGAGGCCTGGTCTTCGGTTCTAAGCTGTGGCTTAATTATAGTGAATCGACATTTAAATGGTAACTAACGCAGACATCAAAATCGCCCAAACAACCGAATGCTAAGCTGTAGATATTCAAGAAACATGTGGACGTGAAAATATAGTTGTTGAGTATAGAGTATGATTTCCAATCCACAATGTTAAGCAAATTAGCAGTTAGCAGTGTGGCTAAGCAGAGTCAACAATATCGTTAAGCGAAGTTACCCACTAGCAGAGAGCATAATTTTTGCAATTAACAGTGTTCTATAGAAGATATTATCGGTCCAACTGTTGGCCATAAAATGTTGGGAGAATCGGCAGAGATGTGTTATCCGCACCTTAAGCCAATTTGCATCTATTAGCATGTTCTAAATTCCATGACTTTCTAGATACATGTTGTCTTGTACGATTGGGCATGGTTGTTTCTGACATGACCCATCATGGTTGCTCATGCTTCTTTGGCATTGATTATAAGGGAAATCTTCCTATAAATACTCATCGACTATAACCATGATTGATACACAAAATATTGTAAAATATACATAATTATTTATCATAAAATATATCTAGTTTTCTTAGTGGACGTAGCTTGATCAGTAGATTGAGTGAACCACTTAAATATCACTCTTGTTCTTTTGCTCGTTGTTTTTTTCTTCAACATTCCACTAAAGTCGTATTCTTTTCAGTTTTAAATCTCCTTAATCCTAACAATAACAAACCCAAATGTTGCATCTCTAGCAATCTCGAACGTGAACTGACCTCTTAAGACTAACGAAACAGAACACCATCAAAATAATATCAATGGAATAAGAAGAGAGCATGTATTAACTTTTTTTCTCAACAAAAAAGACTATTTTGGAGCTTTTTTTTTGTAGAGAACCCGCATCCATTTGTTCATGAGTACATGAAGAAGCCTTAATTTATTTGGCTCATGTGGAGACCTGATGCCTTGGCCAAAGGGTGGACCTACACCGGGGGCAATGTAGGCAATTACCGCCACAATATTAATAAAATTGTTAGAATTTAAAAATAAAAAAAAAAAAAAAAAAAAAAAAAAGACTAATGAGTTTGCAAATTTCTCCCAAAATTTTATTAAATATAGAAATAAATCTTTTAGACTTAAAGTTTAGACTTATCACCCTCTTATAATCTACACCAAACCTACAAGATTTTACTATCAGTTGATGTAGTAAGCGTGAATCTACATAAATTCATTTGCACGTTTCTATTTACTATATACTAAACATCTACAAACCCTTTTACCCAATGTAGGAAATGGAATTTTTTTTTCTTTGTTTTCATGCCCTTCTGTTTAAATAAGCTAAAGATTATAAATAATGTAACATCCTAAAATTAGGTATATGTTGCACTCGTTTCAAAACCAAATGTCCATGTATATTTTACGACGTTGGTTATTGGCTATTAAATCAGGTATATCGTAAATAATATCTATTATACATTTGATAATATTGGATATTTATATGTAACGCCAAGTCAAATCTATTAACATATTTTTGAAGACAACATACAAATAAAATGTTTTTCAAGAGTTGCTAACAGGACCAAAATATATACTCCCTCCGTCCCAAAATTATTGTTCACAGACAAAAAACACACAGATTAAGGAAGCATTAATTACCACTAACTTTATATAATAAAATGACAGTTTTGTCCTTACTTTGCATTTAATGTTTCATTAAATGCTTAGTTTGTTAAGTAATAATGAGGGGGTATTTTGGTAAAAATGTTATTTATTTTTAGAAGTAGACTATTATTTTGGGACAAACCAAAAATAAAAGATGGACTATATGTAACATCCCAAAAATCATGACCAAAAATTCCATTTTTAGTATAATGATTCATAAAATATTTTAGAGAAAACATCATCAAGTTATTTCATATCATCAAATCCATAGATCATAATTCTCAAAAGTATGTCATAATCAAATAACAATGTCAGAGTACAATCCCAAGAACATCATAGTGCGGAAGATAGTGGTGTGATGCGCTGCTACCGTGCCGACTCCTTTCCATTCGAAGAAGAAGAACCTGAAACAAAAACTATAAACCGTAAGCACAAAGCTTAGTGAGTTCCCCTATCATCCCTCATACCATATAACAAACATACTGTCGGGCAATTCTGGGGTGCCCGACCTACCCTGCCAGGCCATTCTGGGATGCCCGACCTACCCCGCCATGCAATTCTGGGGTGTCCAACCTACCCTTCGGTCCTTACAACCATGACACAGGGACTATTCCCCCTACTACCACTATCACATAACATCATATCATAACATATTGTCAGGCATATCTGGGTGCCCAACCTACCCTGTCGGTCCTTACAACCGATATTGGGGTCTATCCACCCCTTCTACTACTATCACATAATATCATAGCATACTAACACATAACTCATAACAGATAGTGGCAAACCAGACAATTATCACAAAGACAATCATCTCAAACATAATCACCTACTGGTGGGTCGGCATTGGTGCCTTAGACCCACCTCTACTGGAAGGTAACTCACCTCAATGTGGTGGAGTAACTGAACTGTCATCGGTGTTGGGATCAACTCTCCTCAAACTCCTACATATATCATTCTCCTTTAGTTACTCCTTCATATTCATATCCCATTTAAGGGTCAACCTTGGGTAATGGTCAAAGTCAAAGTCAACGCTCTGGTCAAAGTCAACATCCTGGTTGACTCAACTCACCGAGTTGGTCCATCAACTCGTCGAGTTCCATAATTCTGAGAATCTCGAATTCGCGATCTGACTCGTCGAGTTACTCTCTAACTCGCCGAGTTTCTCCTTATGACAGAATCGGGACTTTCCATTTGAACTCGTCGAGCCCTTCCTTGGACTCGTCGAGTTCTCCTTCATTCAGTCGGGACATTTTCTCACGGACACGGCGAGTTCATCCTTGGACTCGTCGAGTTCTTGACCTTTAAGTCCAAAACACATCTAGTTGGTCGAGTCATCTTCTAGACTCGACAAGTTGCTAAGTAACAGAAAAGGTTGGGGGAACTACGACCCGACTCGTCGAGTCCTAAGAACAACTCATCGAGTCCCCCATGATCCAAAACTATACAGTCGATTTCAATCGGGCTTAACACATCCAAAACATAGATCCGGCCTCCTAGGGTCAATATAACACGTAAAGTTTCAAACTTTACGTTCATGCATGGAATATTTAGCTCAAAAAGGCTTAAAAAGTGGTTCCTAGGATGCATGGGACTCCCATGGCCATAAAGTTGGCACCTTTATGCCATGGAGTCCCTCAAGGACCTTGGATCTGAAGTCTAAACCCCAAAACATGCTTGCATCCATGAATGGTTCCAAAAATGGCTCCTTAAAGCCCTGAACTACTTCAAAAAGAGATCTAATAGATGAATGGACAAGGTATAAACTTTATACCGCAAATGAGTTGGAAATGGAACACAACCTCTGGATCTACTTGCTTCTTCTTGAACCCCCAAGCTTCTTCTTCCTTCTTAAGCTTCGAATTAGGGTTTTCTGGACTAAGGGAGGCGATGAGGGAGGCCATAGTGGGGGTGTTAAGGTGTTTAAATAAGGTGCAAACCCTGAAAATTAGGGTTTCACTCTGGCAGATCTACTCGTCGATTCGAGGCTCCTCGACTCGTCGAGTAGACTTCAAGTCCCGTGTACAACATATCCAATTCCTACTCGACGAGTTTGGGGCCTCCAACTCGTTGAGTCCCTTAGCAAATATGAATAATTTCTTATTTAAATACGTACCAGGAACCAGGTATTACAAATCTCCCCCACTTATTTTAGACTTCGTCCTCGAAGTCTGCTGCTGCATCCGGAAAAAGCTCGGGGCAGTGCTCCCTCATCTCGTCCTCCGACTCCCAAGTCCATTCTGAGCCCTTATGGTGATGCCATTACACCTTCACCAACTCGACCTTCTTGTTCCTCAGATCCTTCGTCTTCCTGTCGAGAATGGCTACTGGTCGCTCGATGTAGTTCAGGCTGTCATCAACCTAGAAATCCTCTAGAGGCACCACTGCAAAGTCGTCTACCAGGCACTTTCCGCAGCTGGGAGACATGAAAGGTACTGTGGATCTGACTAAGCTCGGCTGGCAGATCCAACCTATACGCCACTTTGTCCACCCAGACTGCAACCCTGAAAGGACTAATGTATCTGGGGCCCAACTTGCCCCGCTTCCTGAACCGGATGACACCTTTCCAAGGTGACACCTTCAGGAGGACCCTATCTCCGACCTGGAACTCCAGATCTGATCGACGTCTGTTGGCGTAGCTCTTCTGCCGACTCTGAGCAGTCTGAAGCTTGCTCCTGACCTGCTGAATCCTCTATGTCTTCTTGAGTACCACCTCGGTACTCCCCATGACCCTCTGTCCAACCTCTCCCCAGCATATCGGGGTCCTGCACTTTCTTTCGTACAACATCTCAAAGGGAGGACGGTCGATACTCGCGTGGTAGCTATTATTGTAGGAAAACTCTGCCAAGGGTAGGTAGGTATCCCATCTACCACCGAAGTCTAATATGTATGCTCGCAACATGTCCCCCAAAGTCTGGATGGTCCGCTCACTCTGACCATCCGTATGAGGGTGGAAAGTCATGCTAAAATGTAGACGAGTACCCAACTCGTCATGGAATTTCTTCCAAAATCCGGAAGTGAATCGCACGTCACGGTCAAAGATCACGGAAACTGGCACTCCATGTCAAGCTACTACCTCTCTGATGTAGATATCGGCCAGTTTCTCGGCCGAGATGCTCTCCTGGATCGGTATGAAGTGAGCACTCTTGGTTAACCAATCCATGATGACCCAAATCGAATCCACCCCTCGTGCGGTCCTGGGAAGCTTTGTGATAAAATCCATAGTAATATCTGTTGGATTAATGTCTAAGTCCATAACCATATTTGGTATGTACTTGACCCGACCCGACATGGTCCATTTGGGTTGCACTTCACCGACACAATTTATATGGATGGTCTTTTGAGAATAGTATATTTATGATTTATATTAATATATTATAAGTTCTAATATATTAATATATAATCATATTATTTAATTAGTATTGATCAAGAATTAATTTATAATTAATTAAGTGATCAAAAGGAACTAATTAAATATGGACTCTTAGATATATATATGTGTAGTGGACCAAGTTCATTTAGGTTGGGCTAAGTCCTCATGGATAGTCCATGGAGCTTTAACCCATGGATCCTAGGAAATTAAAGGTCATGGGTATTAGGGTTTAACCCTAATCCTCCACACTATATAAAGGGTCTTATGGTTCATGAAATTATGTTAGTGGCTAGTGTGGATACACTAAAGAGGGCAATAACCGATTTCATAGTGTGAGCCAAGTATCCATATTCTCTAAAGGTTTTCGAAGGTGTTTTGGTGATTTGTGATTCCACTTGAGGTTTCCACACTATTGGGGCTAAGCTCTTAAAGCTTGAAGACATCAAGCTACATCAAAATGTATGTCATCTAACTAGAACTTTGTAGTATAGGTGCTTCATAATATGCTAGTTAGGATGAAACCTTGGAATATTTAATATTTGCATGTATAATAGAGAAAACATAGATCCAAGGTTTATAGGGTTGCATGTACACCATAGGAGTGTTAGAATGCTCAAAACCCAACAGTGGTATCAGAGCCATGGGTTGTTTTCTGTTATATTGATGCAAATGTTTTATTTTCAAAGTTGGAAAAAAAAAGAAAAAAACATGACGTTTGTCAAATTTTAAGATAATTACTTGTTTTTGTGAAAAACTAATTATTTGTAAAATTTGAATCATTTGCTATATGAGTTGAATTGGGT